TCATTTGTTGTTGTTTCACTTTCAAAAAACAAGATTTTTGCATTATTGTAAATTTTTGCCCAAATACAACTTACGTGCAATTTTTTTCAATAAATATAATTAAAATGAACTTAATTGGAATAATTTTCAAGAGGAATTAGAATGATCAAAATTTGTAATTTCATAATGTATTTAATTTCTGTCTGAAAAATACTTCATTAATGGATAATTTAATAAAAAAAATTATAAATATGAGCAGCAACGATTATTCCATCGTTTCTTCTTCTTCGATATTCAATGAAGATTCTTCGAAGAGGAAGCAACATTTAGAGCAAAGCATTTAGTATATTGTGAGTTCCCAGACAAGATGAATAATGGAAGAAACAAAGTTAAATGATCCATTCAGTTCAGTTTCTTATATAACATCTCCACCAAGAAAATTATAATACTTCAATCCTATAACGAAGTCGTACTTTTCACACTCTCCAATACTTTATCGATGACAACTATTGAAGAACTCGGATAAAGGTTGATGAAAAAAGTTTAATTAATAAATAACGAATTCCTAAAGTGTTTTAGAAATGTCTCTTCTTAACATCATTAACGTATTATATATATTTTATTATTTATTTATTATATATATTTTGCATACTTTAAAATGTATAAATCACGAATTGCAAGAATATATATATATTTTCATAACATTTTCTCACAACTGAAATGTGAAAAATATCATAGATTATATCTTAGAGGACTTATTATAATTTATTATATTTATCATATTCAATAACATATATTAAGCGTATAAGCAATAATAAAAGAAAATTCTACTTCTTCCAAATTTGTTCATCGAGGATTGAATCAAAAACGATAAATCCAGCATATCCAGACAACTATAACGAAAAAAATAGGAAAAAACGTGTTTAACGTTTCGATAAGCTCAAATAAATCGTTTTGGCTTCCGTCTTTCGCGCGTTTCAACATCGTCTTTTCAAAGATCCGATCCAATCAGGCGGCAAACTAATCAAGCAACAACGAACTTCGCTTTTTCTTCTTCTTCCTTCTCTTCTTTCTCCCCTTTCTTTCTTTAAAGCAACTGCTTTCTACACAGTTTCTCTTATGAGTGAGACGGCAGTGTAAGATGAAACTTCGCCTAACTCGTAACTTATAAATAAGTTATAACTTATAAATTAGCCTCGACCGACATTTTTTCGTATAGAGCAAGTTTTGCATTTACTTTGATCAAAAACCGACTATCAAAAAGTATATTCCATGAATATATAAACACTCTATATAAAATAGGTATCCATATAGAATCGATATCCGTCATACAAATGCAAGGAGTTTAAAATTCGTAGGTGAAAAATTTACATTCGAGTATATATACGTGTGTGTAATAAATTTGTATGTTTCTGAGAATTTGATACATTAATTATAATAAAAGTAATAACTAAATTAATTAAAATTTCATGTATAACGATGAGTAAAATATCATCATAGATATGTACATGCACAAAGTGATTCATTCACATATTATGCTTGTCTCTCATATTTTTAAAGAAACTTATAATATGGATAATATTATATTCAATCGTTACATGATCCTCGTGTCAGAAAAATAATGAAAAGGAGAAAAAAATATATTGGCTTTATATGAATAAATCACTTTACCTATAAATTATGTATATAAGCATGTACATTTATTGACAAAAGTTAAGAAACGAACTAATCATCCGCGACTTTATTTATATTTCTCATTATCTGATATGAACAAATGTAAAAAGAACATAGAGAGATCACAGTCCATCAATAAGTAATAAATTTTTTTCAGATAATTATAGTTTTGCTCGCATAAAACCAATGTGGAGATAAAAAACATTAAAAATTTAGAAATGATTAGCTCGTTCCTTAAATTTTTTCATTTTCATTATTATCCACGAATTTTGAAAGTCTTAAAACAAATTAGAGAATTGAAGATTATAACAATAGTCTATTGAAATCAATAAATATGAAAAGAAAATTAAAATATTAATTTAATTCAATTTAAATACGAATTTCTTCAAGTAATCTCTATATGACTTGACACATGACACTTTCTCCAATTTTCTCTGAATACCAAAGTTCTGCAGTATAACTTGAGATGTGAAAGAGATCTTATTTTCTTCGACCAAAAGTTTTTCTCACTCTTATCTTCGAGTTTCCTTGGCAACACGGAATGCTTCTTTAATACTTCCGTTTTCATATTGAGTGAACCATAAATTCACCAAATAGCAACATCGTTGTTTTTGTCTCGAGCTGATCACTTTTCCTCGTTTCCCAACGTTCGATGCATTCATGAAACAAAGATGCACGTTCATCTCATTTTCTGATGTGCCATTTTCTTAGAAAAAACTCAATTACGTGCTCACGAATCTATGTCAAATATGTTGTAAATGTTCACGTCACACAATCATGAGAAATAGTTTTCTGGAAAAAGTATTTGGATTATACAAACAAATTGTTAAATCTGAGAATGTATTAGAAAAAATATGTATTTCGTTGGAAAATTAGTTAGAACAAGAAGAAGAAACAATGTGAAAGAAAAATCTGATTAGTTTTAATGTAGATTATTTCCAAAAAAATTACATATTTTCTTGTATTAAAAAAATATAAAAATATATCTAATATAAAATGAATAAAAAAAAAGAATAATTTTTTAAGAAAAAAGCAATGTAAAAGCAAAACTATGATTGAACATAGTTAATAACTTCAATGTTAACACAGATAAAAGCAATTATTCGTGAATATGGAAACGAAAATTCATTCAAAATATTAAATACGAAATATTTTAAAAAATAATTTCTTTGTGAATTTACGATAACGAATATTTTTTCTGTCAAATTTTCTTTTCCATTATTATACTGTCTTTTCACTGCATTCTATTTTATAATCGTACAATTAAATTCTTTTCTTTGTATTTTCTTCGTATCCTATCTGTTTTATCATAGCATTCCAGAAATTGTGATAATTTTAATCAATTTTCAGAGAAAGATCCAAAGAAATTAAGAATCTCTAAAAATTTTGAATTATCAAAATGGAGAATAATATTTAAGAGAAATTAGTTTCTCAAATATTTGTGGTCATCGAATTAATCAAAGAAACTAATTTAAAGTCCCTAGATCGAAAAAGTAATAAATAGTATTTAATATTAACATAAATTATTGGAAGTAGATGGCTAAGTAGATGGAAGAAACATAACATTTTAATCTATAATTTTCAAAATAAAATTTATTTTATTATATCTACGTGTGGAATATTTCATATATATAAATGAATAGCCGATAGATTTCAAATCGGATAACTCGGCTAATCTCGAACGAAGCTTAATTTTCATCTTTCTTCTTTCTTCTTATCTTCTTTCTTTTACCTGTTTCCAGCGATCGAGGGATTCGATGAGAGGATTCCATAGAAAAGTTGCGTAGAAGGGATGAAATACCGATTCCCATAGCTAGGAGGTGGAAAAGAGATGTGGATGAGGAGAGGAGAAGTTGGAGCGGATTCGATTGATGGAGTCTGCTCCGACAAATTGATAAAGAAGGGAGAGAAGTGTAGAGAGCGTTTTGTTCTTTCGAACTTTTACAACGACAATGGGGATCGGTGGTAAGTTGCTAGTTAACTTGGTGGAGTTTTAACGTGTAATTTGTAATTTGGGAAGGTATTACTTTAAATTTTAAAAGGAGGAAGAAAAATTGAAAAATAGAAAATTGCAATGAAGGAAATTATTATTATAGGAATTGAAAAAATATTTAAAAACGGAGTATATGTAATGTCTAAATTTTGGAAAATAATCGTGCGTGTATTCCGAGTGGGAAGAGTGAGTATCTTACAAACGAGTAACTATATATTATTTCATTTCGTGCTCCGATTCGAATTTAATTCATTTAATAATTTATACACATTCACATTATATTATTATTTCAGATTCTATCAAATATATTTAATTCGTTACGATTCATTGTCATTTTACATATATATTAACTGTAACGAAAATAATAATAATATCAGAGAATAATGAGAAATATGATGAAATTAATAGTTATCGCATTTAAATCGTATTATTTTGTTTACAACAAAATAATGAATTCCTGGAATGGAAAAATGGGACTGAATAATGTATTACTTATGTATTCACATTTAAATCGTTTTGCATCATAAAATGCAAAACAAACAAGAGAATAAGGTGGAGAGAATCGAAAGAAAGAGATGGAAAAAGGGAAGGCAAGCGTCTTCCACCACTAGTCGATATCAGCTTGGCGGCCTAGTAGCATGGGATCACAAGATCGCGATTTTCGAAACGAATAATCCGCAAATAATTTAAAAAATTAATCGATATTTAACGATACCGATATCTCATAAATATTTATAATAATCGATCTAGTGTGTGAGAATAATTTTTTAATTCAAAAAGTTGTTTAATTTTCGATCGATAATAATATCTCATAAATTTTTATAATAACAATTATGTGTGCGAGAATAATTTAAGAAAAATTTTTAATTTTTATAATATAACGCATTGGTAGAGCAATGTACAATGTAAATTGAAAATGTAATGATTATTCTAAAAAGGAAAAAATTTGTGGAAAGATTAAAATCATAATATAAACAAACATACAGTTTTTATCATTGCAATGATTATACTGTTTCAAACAACTACGATATAAACTTCTTTTCTGTTTTAATTAAACGCGTAACCGAATGAAAAAGTGAAGGACGAAAAAAAGATGAGAATAAATAAATTCTTAAACGATTCGTGTCGTGTCAATGCGATCGTGAAGTATAATTATTACAATAATATTACACATAAAAGAGACGCAATATTTTCTTTGCAGAATTTTAACAATTTTAAATAAATCAGGAATAATTTTTTTTTTTAATGTTACGCGACTACAAGATTGATAAGGTAAAGAACAATTGAAACAAATTTGTTTTTTTGCTGAAAACTTTATTCTATTTAAAATGAAAATAAAAATTTTAACGATTAAAATGTAAAATATTTTAACTAATCTCTCATTATTGAGACACACAGTGTTTCAATAAAAAATTACGCTTACTTTTTAAAAAATAAAAAGATTCTTACTTAATAGATTCTTATAAAAAAATATGCCAATCATCGCGTTGTGACAGTGCAGTGTGGTGATAAATAATAATAAATAGTGATTATATATAATAACAAGATTTTCATTAAGAAGATCTTATTCATTCCTCTTGGTTTTTTCCTTTCGTTCCTCTAATAACACTCTTATTAGACTACCTACAATTTCCTTTAAAATTATAATATTTTTTTCTCTTATTCTCTTCAAGATCAATCAAACAATAATTAAACGTTTGAATAAATGAAATTAATGAGAAATGAATATAATGAATCAGAAACTTTCTACGTCGATTTCGAAAGGGAATGGATATTAGTAAGTTTATACAAAGTTAATTTGAATTATAGATACACAGGAAATCGAGATTAGAATTGATGCTGATATAAATTCTGATTGACAATATAATGTCTTTTAATGCTTGTAGTAAGCTTTTACAAATAATTAGTATACTGCTAATAATGGAATATTCTTTAATTTTAATTTCTATTGAATCTAAATCGAGAGAAAGAGAGAGAGAGAGAGAGAGAGTAGCATGATCATTGAATAATTTCCATTATGTCCAATTAATATTATATATCAATATATTATAAATATTGATAAATAAGATATGAAAGATATAATAAATAATAATATCCTTATACAGATTATGAGTAAGAATTAATATGCGATAAAAAAAATATTATAAAATTAAATAATTCATTGATTAAATAAAATAATTTTTTTATAATGGAATCATAATTGACATAGAATTATCGTTCAATTCAACGAAAAATTATTTTACTATGTTTAATGAGATGATTTATGAAACAAACAATCGACCTCGTATTTTAATCGATAATCATACTTATAATTTACATATATTTCCTGTTATTTATTTTTCTTTTTTTCGCATTTTAAATTGAAGGATATTGCGTTAACTTTTTTTAAAATTAATCTTAATTAATTATGCGTTTTTTCTTTCGTTCAATTATTCTTAAAACAAAACATAAGAAATAAAAAATTATTACACATCACAAAATTTTAAACCAAACAATGTTCGATACAAAAATTTAAACATTTATTTATCAATCATTTATCATATTCTTATTATTATTTATCATTAATCATAACAAAAGATTTAAATTTCAATCTGAATAATAATCTTTGTAACTACGTTCAAGGGAATGAAAGAAATAATAAACGAGGAAGTTGATCTAATTTCTTATTCAATTCTTTCTATATTGTTTACTTGAATATTGATGTGTATTTAATTATACATGTATATATAGTTAATAAATTAATATCATAAAAATATTTATATCCAATATCACATCTTTCAAAAATCTTAGAAAAAATGAAAATTAAGAAATCCTATTTCTTTTTTCTTTTTATTTCTAAATTTCTAATCTAAATATCCTGTACTGTTTCCATACTTACATATTTATGATATAAATAATTCAATTCACAGCTTATAACTGCGACATTTGCTCCTAATAGAAGTATCGAAGGGATCGAAAGAAACAAGAAATACTCTGATTACAAGTCAATGTCAAAGATAAAATTATTCGATGTAAATCAAAGAGCCGAGGAATATGCTTAATAAATAAAATGAAAATGCGTTCGAAACAGTAAAACAGAGACAGTCCTTGAATAAATGGAGGAATGAAGTGATACGCATGTTCAACGAATGCAAAAGACCAGTGAAATAGCAACGAGACTTTATTATAACATTTCCCAACTGAATCTTGCCAATTTAATGCGAGTCCACTCTCTGCTCATCCTGCAATTTTTTTGCCGAAACGTGAAAACGTGAAAAATCCACCATTTTTTTTTTTTTTGAAAACAAAGAGAATCGAAGGTAAGTCCATGTTGGCGAATTTTTTTCCACTTTTTTTTTTCCTTTTTTTTTCTTTTCTTTTTTATGGAAATATTTTACGATCGACCAGAAATGAAGGAACAAAAAATTTATAAGATTCATGAATACGTATGCTAGAATAAATTATTTTTCACGATTTCAGAATTATAATGCATCGTGTTTTTAAATGTTGAACATTGGCATTACGGGCGTTTTAAATTATAAGATACTTTTCCCTGAAATTTACCATATATTTTTTTCATTGTAGATATTAGGAAAATTTGTATATTTAAAAATTAAAGATATTTAAATTTTGTTAATATCTCTTTATTTTTCCAATAAAATTGAAAAGCAGATTTTAAATACGTATTCATATAGGATAAAATTTAATTAAATCATGTAAAATTTGAAGCCATCTTCGTTTTTACATCTGACTCGATCGTTGCCCAACAAAATTCGAAGATCGTCCATTAAATGCGTATATCCGATTCATGAATATTTGCTACTCTATCGCAATAGTATCGATTATTCGATATTAATTACCTGAATTTCCGATTCACCGGATTTTCAATTACATCGACGTTAATTTCTCGATGACAGATTATTCAGAAGTGTGTATAAAAATTTTTTATCAAATACTGCTTACACTTTTTTAAATTACCCATCGTATATATATAAACCATTTGGAAAATAACTCCCAACATAATGATAACATCTTTTATTACGCGCGAAAAAATCATTTATCATATTCCCATTGTTCGCAGATACAATGAAGAATAACAATACAAGGAGGAATAGGACGAAAAATCATCAAAAATGACGATACCAAACAATTATTCCACGTACATGTTACCAGCTTGCGATAATCTGATCAACTTCTTCAATCACTCTCGCACTACTGATCTGACCTTTGACTCGAGATTATGGAACACGAGCGAGTTGAGTCATCCCTTTCATTCCTACAATTTAAAGAACATAACGTGTTTGCAACACGCGCCACACGCAACCATCAGCACCCTCTTTAAGTCTCTCATATTGACCATTATGGCGGTCATCAGCATGTTGGCCAACCTGGCCACCATATACTCGATCGTCAGATGTCGACGAAGACACCATTCCTGGTCGGCGATTTACACGTTGATCCTGCATCTAGCTATAGCCGATCTCTTTGTATCCGTGTTCTGCATAGGCGGGGAAGCGATGTGGAATTACACCGTGGAATGGATATGGGGAAACGTTGCGTGCAAATTGTTCAAATTTTCGCAAGTGTTCAGCCTGTATCTGAGCACGTTCGTGCTGGTACTGATCGGTGTGGACAGGTTCTTTGCTATAAGATATCCTATGAAAGGGATGAACACCGCTGACAGATGTTTGAAGTTCATCATCGTGGCGTGGATACTATCCTTTGTACTGTCACTGCCTCAGGTAAGCAACAGTTGTAACGTTTTATCATAGTTTGCAAAATAAGGAATTAAGGAGTAGATTACTTTATTGCCATCTATCTGTTTGATCATCCCCATTCACTTTTGATCAATTAAATAATGATAATTAAATAATGATAATTATTCGGTTAGGAAACTCTTAAAAGTCTTAAAGCCTAAGTGAAGAAATTTAAATTTAATTGGTTGTAGTATAATTGATTGATAAGACACATCTACAAGTTGGATTATTAGACACGTTCTGACTCTTAAAGCGACTGGAGAAACTTCAGTCTCTGAAAATTACCAAGGGTAAATAATACAGTTAGAATTTCCTAGATTAATAGGGAATTTTTAATCAGGAAAGAGAGACGAGTTAACAAGTCATTGAACTTATTTAATTATCCAGGAAGATTAATATAGGATGTAACATAATGTAAAGAAATAATTAACTTATTTGTTCAATACTCTTATTTTTCATTTATTTTTTTTTTTTTTTACTATTGCTTAAAATTAATGTATAATCAAACTATTTCGCTTTAAATGGCGAATGGTGATCGTATTGAATTGCTCTCGATATTCATTATTCGTTCAAATTCACAATACGATTTAATAAATGATGCATTGTGCTATGTAATTATCATTAAGAGGATTGACGATTCGATAAACGGTTTCGTGTTTGAAACAATTTGACAATTGCGTATTTTAGATTAGAAACGATATAAAATATCTATGAAAACATATATGTTTCATTTAATGAACTTTCGAATCAATTAACATTAATAATGCCAGTTAAGATATAATGAAATAATTAATATTATGTCGCATAAATCATAACAAGCAGAAAAAGCAACATATATAAATATTCAAGACATTAAAAAAGTATATAAATTTTTTTCTTTATTCTTAATTTCTCGTAAAAAAAAGTAATATATGGTCGATTATATTATATAATTATTATAACGTGTTTTCAACATTTTGCAATATCCTTAATAATTTTATTAAATTTCATTACATTGCTTTCGAATAATATTCTTATTCGAGATTCTATTACTGTTTTAGAACGAAAAAAAGTTGATAGAGTATCCTATCCTAAATTTCTAATTTATCAATCGCTGCACGATACGAAATCGAGCAAACTTTTCGACGAAATTTGTCTGCTCCAAACGAGTTAAAAGTTCGATCCGTGAAACCGATCAAGTGGCTGATTCGCAATTAAAAAGTAATTTACAGCAGCTGACATTCGGTTGCCGATAAAAACTTTTCAACAAATGTGCGAAAGAAGAAAGTAAAGACATCGCTTTCTCTCTCTCTCTTTCTCTCTCTCTTTCCTTACAATTTATATTTCTCTCTAATTTTTTTAATCGCATTTTACAGAAAACAATAGCCATTACGTGCGTGAAATTGAAAATAATTTTCATTTGAAAAAAAATTCTTTTGAATAACAATTTGCCAGACAATATTAATAAATTGAGTGAACGGATTATAAGTGGTTTCATTTATAATTTTAAAATTGTATATTATACTTTAAAATTTTAGAGTTTTTTTTTTTCTAGATTTGCAAATTATAGATTATGAATTTTTTCCTCTACAAAAGATAACATGAAAATTTATTACTGTAAGATTTATTTTATTATCTTGTATTAAACTTGCAATTTATTAAGACTGATAAATAATAAAATTAGTCCAATTATAAAAAATGTAAATAAAAGAATTAAAAATTCAATCTTTGATGGAATTGCATAGTATTCATTAGTAATCTAATAACTCTTTATTATTATATACATGTATATATTGTAATTGATACAATTATCAACAATTATGCCCCATTAATATTAATAGATAATATTAATAGATAATAAAAATGTTTATCGAATAAAACTTGTTCTCTTAATATGAATTAATTGATGATTATTATAAATTTAACTTTTAAATATTTTAATTCAACATTGTCAGACAGACAATGTCATGTCTTTAATTAAAAGCTTAAAATGAAGAACTTGTCACGAGCACGAGCAAATGAATTATAAAACACTGGAAAATAATAGCATATCGAAATTGGAAACTGGACCCAAACCGCGGAACATCACATGCGGTTTTCGCGACAAAACCAAAATTCTGCATCGTGGCGCGCAAAACAGTTCCGGATGTCAGAGAAAAGTGCTAATTTATATGTAAATTCGTGGCAAAGTAAAAAACTGAGATGTAACGATGTTACGTTACGTCCATTAAAAAATAGAATGGTCTGATTAAAAGAAAAGAAAGGGTGAAATTTAAACGTCAGTTTACAAACTTGAAGCTATGAGCTAATATTAATTAAAAATTTTACGACCCTTCTTTTCTTCTTTTTTTTCTTTTTTTTTTTTTTGTTGAACTTAAAAACTGTGCAAATATTCATTTTAAAAAAAGAAGAAATGGATACATTGGTCTTCAAAAAAAAAAAAAGAAATAGCATATCAAAAGAATTTTATACAAATTTATAATATTAAAATTCTATATATTTTCACTCTCCACTGTTATAAAATTATTATCAAATAAGACATAACATGGTATTAACATGTGTCTCATAATAAAACGATGTAACTTGTACAGAAAAAAGAGAATAAAAAGTTGTCGTAGAAAAACTGGATAGACGAGGAAATTATATAAATTACGAGTATATAAAATATAAAATGTCAATATATAAAAATGAATCGATATCTTAGGAAGATATACTTTACAACCAACATGTTGATACTTGAATCTTCTATATTAATTTACATATGACGATTTATAAGTTGCTTTAGAAGATGATTTTCTATCTTCTTGCATCACTGTAAAAAAAAAAAAAAGAAACGATATAAATTAAGAAGGTATAAATCTACTTTATCATAAAGACTCAAATAATCAGTTAATTATCTCATCGGGCTAATTGATCATTTTTTTCTCCCACTTTTAATTTTCTCAAACAAATACTAATTATTATTAGCAGCAAAACATTTCATTCAATCTTCCTTCCGCTAAATCTGATTCTATCTCGAACCATTTTCCATTTCCTCCCCGAGCTGTTTACCATCATATCAATTTGCTACTTTACAAAACATGGGAATACGCCCCTCAAGAAAAGCTTCTCGAATAAATTGCTGCCTCAAGCTTTGCTTTGTTATGGTACAAACTGCTCACCCCTATTTCATCTTCTACTTAAAACAAAAAGAAATTGGCCGCGACATTTCAGTAATTCCTATTTAAGATCAAGACCAATTCTTCTTTTGCAATAACATTCCCTATATTAACAACATATTGATCACATAACTTAAAATAACTTAAAACACCCAATATATTTCAAACAAATCTCAAAAAGACTCTTAACTTTTTGATAAATGAGGAACATGATTAACAAATATCGTACATTTCGATATAAACATTCCCATAAAAATCGTTTCATAAATAATAATAAATTACATAAAAATACAATACTATGCCTAAAATACTTTACCCAATATACGACATACATATACACACCACGAAGAATCATATGCGTTTCTACTCCATCGAGGAGACACTGGACAAAGAACTCTTCTCGCTGACCGCGGAATCGTAACCTTCCAACGATTTCCGCGTGGAGAATTTATCGAACGGATGGTAGGTGGGGGCTCTTTTCAGCCGATCCAAATCCCCGCTGCGCCCCGTGCCGCCGCACGGGCATTTCCTTCTCCTCCTTCTTCGGCTACGAGATCGCCTCCGCCTCCTACGAGTTCGGCACCCCCTTCGAGCCGCCCGCCTACGCCTCACGCGTCTTCTACGCTTGCATCTGCAGAATCTCCTCTTCCTCCCACGTCTGCGCCGTTTTTTCTTGCACTTGCACCCCATCTTCCGCTGCATCCTGCTCCTGCGGCAGGCGTCCAACAGATTCACCTCTTGCTCGGCGATCTCTTGACACTTTATGTCCCCGTTCGTCGGTAAAATGTAATGGGCGCCATTCTTCTTCAAGATGCCGTACGCCACCCCCCGTTTCAAAGCCGTTTGCATCTGTTTCGATTCGGGGATGAGTTTTAAGGGGATAAACAGAGGGATGTTGTTGCGGAGTGTTAAATATTATGATTATTGATTTAGAAAATTGGAGGGTTGGGAAAAAGGGAGATATTTTGTACTAATTTTATTATGTATTGTAGAAAATTTATTGTTTGGTTGTAAACGAGTATTTTTTTCAAAATTTGATAATTTGTAGATTGTAATAATATTTTGAAAATAGTTGTGTTCTAATCTGATTAGTATGTTTCTATTGTTTAAGAAAAAATTACCTGACGACGCGCTACATTTGGTAATATATCGTAGACAGAGGAGAGATAATGCAAGATTTCTTCGAAGTCGATCCTTTTAATTCGCGAAGATTTTTAATGGCCTTGATGACCAGCCCAAGAATTTTAGACGAATCGCTCACCATGATTGCATCGTTCTTCTAAACTGCAAAAGAATATCGAATTAGAAATCTCTATATATTCATAAAATGTGCCTGTAAGAATTTTTCCCGCCATTTTTCAAACATGTCGACATAAATCACATAAATGGTTAACATTAGTGCATCATACTTTTTTTTAAACGTAATTATTTAATTATCATAAATATATTCGCACCGTTGATGAGATTGGTTCTAATACTTGAAGGAAACAGATAGAAAAATTAATTTCGTTTAAACAAATTGTTGAATCATTTCTGACTTTAAAATAGATTTCAAAGTTTATGCGATTTATTTATTTCTATAATTTATTTAATTTCTATTCGAAATATTCAAAATCGTGAAAAAATCATTAATACAATAATTTATTAAGATATTTATCATTGATTACGAAGTTTTATTTTAAAATATCGAAAATTGTTAATAGTATCTTTTGATAATATTTAACCAGTAAAATTCAAAAATATTAATTTTCAAGTTAAACCAGACTAGTTCAAGACTAGTTTATCCTTATTATTATTTAACCTGTTTTTGAATAATTAATTATCGTGAAATTTTTGCATCGAAGATAGAATTAAATAAAGCAACGGATATCCTCTAACCCGATCATTCCTAAGTTTTCATCTTGCATAAAATATGAACTTGACATTGTGAATATTCATAAAGATACTTAATAAATTATTATTCAAATATATATACTTCTTATGCGCTACGCTATTCTACACTTCGCATACTTCTTATTGCGTTGTTAAATAATTCTTGAAATGCTTGATAAATTGAAAAGATAATTTGGATAATTCCATAAGAAAATGAGCGTTTTTAGTAAAATATAAATTTTTAACAATCAATTCAGGATGATCATTTATGTCCAATTAAAATGACTTCGTTTTATAATTTTTTATTAAAATTGTAACCGAATTTTGTTAACATGAATTATATTGAAATATTTCAATGTATCATAATCTTGAATTTCAATCAATAATGTAGAATTAAAAAAAGAAACGGATATCTTGATCTATTTTGTTCCATGAAATCAAATAAAATGTTTGTAATTAAAGATATAATACCGTGTATATATACATTGAAACAGAGAAAAGTATAACTTACATATTTTAAAAAATCAGGATTTAATGAAAATTTTCATAAAACATAACTCTTCCTCAGACAAAAATCAATCCTCATATTTTCTACACATTCAACTAGAAATATTTTTTGTAATAAATATAATAGAGCAGCAATATTTAATTAATTTAATTATTTTGCTCCATTATTTATTTATAAAACTTGAAAATAATACTGAAATACTTTAACAGATAATCTTATCCTCCAGAATTAAAGAAACAAGTTGCTATATAACCCATCACGTATAACCCATATTCACAAACTCTCGTGTAAAACAGAATTGATATTGATCAACACGAGTTATTAATTGAAATCGAAGTAAGATCTCTGAATACTTTTGCAACTGACTGTATATATATATATATATACACACATATATATATACGTACATCTATATAATAATTAATAGTACCTTAAGAGTCGGTAATTAATTGACAGATGATCATCAGGCGCTACCTGTTCCCGTGAATTTTGACGAGAAATTTTTATATTTCATCGAGTTACAACTTTCAATCCATGATTCGTTGATTTCCCCCTTCCTTTCGAAATTTTTAAATACTTTGGAAATTTTTAAGATAAAACGGCGACCAAAAATTTTCTTACGTCACATTTCTGTTAACCGATGAGTGGAACGAGCATCGACGTTTACAATTGAACGTAGATGTTTCGAGTGTGATCGAGAGATCACAGTGGAACGGCACTCTAACCTTTTTTTTTTTAAATCGAAACCACTCCATTTTTCGCAATAACTTGGAGGGATATCTATCCTCAAATTCACACGAGAGCTGTATACGTGCAAAAGTAATTAGAAATAAAAATATACTGTTGGGATTCAAAAAGAAAAATTCACGAGATGATTGAAATAAAACGATCGTATTTATAGATAAAATAAATTAACCCCTTTTAAAATAATTATCTCTTCAATCTTTATTATATTCGATTTTGAATTTTAAAATTTTCCAAAATAACCGTAGATTTTTGTATCTTTATATATATATAATAATAAACGTCTCGCGTAATCTCTTCATTTGACCGATTGAAAAAGTCCAACGCGAAAATGCAAATCGAGTAAAAAAAAAAATTCTCAAACGAGGAATTTAAAATTGTAAATTGTCCATGATTAATCGTTATATAATTCGACGATGATTACCTTGTTTTTTCATATACCTCTTCGTCGATTTTTTTCAAGAAAAATTTCTTAATAGATGCGCATCATCGGAGATTTATGAAATAGAATCGATCAAATTGTTATTGTTAATTCATCTCAGGATAAATTGCACTGTATATCACGTACATTCGAAATACGTACACGATATTTTCCAAGATATAATATTTTCAGATTATCATATTCCACGTTGTCGAAGGGCCGTTCGTCGAAGAATTCGTGCAATGCGTGACCTATGGATTTTACACGGAGCCCTGGCAGGAGCAGCTCTACGCATCGTTCGGTTTGTTTTCCATGTTTCTTCTACCTCTTGCCATCCTCATCGCCACCTACGTTTTCACCATAATCACAATATCTCGTGAGTACAATATCGTGGGTACAAGAATTTTGAAAATATTGTGTGTGCAATAATTCTTCTCCCCCTCCTCCCCTCCCCCCCCCCTTCTCTTCCCTTCCCTTCAATTTCGTTAGATAGATCTGTAACCAATCGTTTCCCTTATTTTTTTATCCTCTTATTTTCGTGCCGTTTTCGTATATTCGAACGTGACGAGAAAAAATAAATTTTTCAGGGAGCGAAAGAATGTTCAAAGTGAAATTGGCCAATAACGATGTACGCCACGTAAACGGAGATGTAAATCGAAGGAAATTAATGTATCGAGCAAAAGCTAAATCGTTGAGGATCAGCATCGTTATAGTAACCGCCTTTATATTCTGGTGGACACCGTATTACACGATGATGATCATATTTATGTTCTCTTCCCCCGACAAACATGCAAGTATTTTTATAAAATAATTTTCCCTTCTTCTTTTCTCTTCCTCCTTTTTTGGGTAAATTTTTTTCTTTTTTCATCTCCTTCTCTTATCGAGGTAACGAAAATTCTTCACTCGTATATTCTCTATCAACAATCATCATAGGTATTTCATTTCTGTACTTCTTCGTTTGAAGGAAAAAAAAAAAAAAATGAGAAATTTCGAACGATTCGGAAAATTTCAGGACGTCCTCTCCTGATTTCTCGTTATATTTAAGATATTTAAAGATTGTTAAAATTAAAATTTTATAAATTCAATACGTCATCGAAATAACGAGGAAGATTTATAATATGATATGATAATGAATTTTAACAAAATTTTATAAAAATGTCATTTACCTGCATTGAATGCAATCAAATAAAGTTACTTGACGTTTTCAGCTTAGCGATGAATTACAAAATATTATCTTCTTTTTTGGCATGAGCAACAGTTTGGTAAATCCTCTGATATATGGGGCGTTTCATTTGAGGCCGAGAAAGCGTCGGAATTTCATACACAGGTATATTAACATTGTAAAAGAAGATATATAATTCTTCTGTGTAACGATTGCATCTAATCTATCTTGCAACTTTCAGGGAAATATCCACGACACAACGCAGATTTACGCCAACCAGTTATGGGAGTAGTTATAGGCGAGATTCGCGAGAAACGCGTACACCAATTTTACCAAAAAGTAATTAAAATTGGGTCTCTTAGATAGATCTTTTTATTGTGTTGAATTGAATAAGTTATTGATATTTTTAAATATTTTAATACATTGATGTAAATATGTACACATTAATTACACAGTGCATATAATATGCTAGTTATAAGATGAAGAAATTCTGTTATTCAAAGTTGAATTATATAATTTTACATATGTAAGTAGTTTATCTTTTTTTATGATTAATATAATGATTGTTATATTTTGTAAGATACGTTTTTGTAAAAATATGTATAAAAATAAAATAAGGATAAAATTCTTGTAGTATTATATAATTAGTAGAAAAATAAAATTAATAATTGAGAATACAAATAAAATTATATTTTTGCAAAAAAAATGTTTGAATTTAATGTTTTTCAAAATAATTTTTATACGACATACATATGATAGTGATGAAAGATAAAACAATGAAATATACATAGCAGAGATCAAATATTTATCATTCAAAGTATATATAGATATATATATAGTGCGATTAAGTCTTCGTTCAATTACAATTAATATTAATGTACATTTTAGATATACATTACAAAATTATAAATAACGAAGGAATAAATTCGACAAACAAATTTTTAATTAGTTATTTTTTGGTAAAATGTTTCAAAATTCCCTTCTATGCCCTTCATCGAATGATATCTTGCATTAAAATGCTTGCATTATTTATTATAAGATATATGTATATTTTATGAATTAAAGATACATCATAAAACGGGAATATAATATTTAATTTTAATTTTTTTACATTAGAAATTAGAACACATTATAGTTTTGAAAGAGAAATAATGAAATAAAACAATCGAAGTGCGTTTAATTGATATTCCATACTCTATCCATACGATCCTCTATTCAGAACAAGAATAGACAAGGAAAGCAAATAATTAGAAAAGGACAGGGATACGATAAAAATTCAAGCATCAGCGCCATCTCTAGAGTGCCGCAAATTAAACACATATAGACAAAGAGAGCAAATAGCAAAAGAAAGATAGAGATAGGATAAAAATTGTAACTAGTGCCATCTTTCGACAATCCAATACATCTTTTGAACAGCGAGATAAGATAGAATAAGAATTAGCTATCAGCGCCATCTCTATGCCAAATATCTAACATTAATGAAACATTTTCCAAAAATTTCACGAGATGGCAAGGCATGTTCAATTTTTATTCCATTGCTATAGATTCAAAGTTATTGGTTCAGTATAAAAATAGTATTATATTATTAGTAGAAAAATAAAATTAATACATGAGAATACAAATAAAATTATATTTTTGCAAAAAAATGTTCGAATTTAATGTTTTTCAAAATAATATTTATACGACATACATATGATAGTGATGAAAGATAAAACAATGAAATATACATAGCAGAGATCAAATATTTATCATTCAAAGTATATATAGATATATATATAGTGCGATTAAGTCTTCGTTCAATTACAATTAATATTAATGTACATTTTAGATATACATTACAAAATTATAAATAACGAAGGAATAAATTCAATAAACAAATTTTTAATTAGTTATTTTTTGGTAAAATGTTTCAAAATTCCCTTCTATGCCTTTCATCGAATGATATCTTGCATTAAAATGCTTGCATTATTTATTATAAGATATATGTATATTTTATGAATTAAAGATACATTATAAAACTGGAATATAATATTTAATTTTAATTTTTTTACATTAGAAATTAGAACACATTATAGTTTTGAAAGAGAAATAATGAAATAAAACAATCGAAGTGCGTTTAATTGATATTCCATATTTTATCCATACGATCCTCTATTCAGAACAAGAATAGACAAGGAAAGCAAATAATTAGAAAAGGACAGAGATACGATAAAAATTCAAGCATCAGCGCCATCTCTAGAGTGCCGCAAATTAAACACATATAGACAAAGAGAGCAAATAGAAAAAGAAAGATAGAGATAGGATAAAAATTGTAACTAGTGCCATCTATCGACAACTCAATACATCTTTTCAACAGCAAGATAAGATAGAATAAGAATTAGCTATCAGCGCCATCTCTTGAATATAAAAAATATTATTTTTTTCCCAATAGATAAAGTAAAATAAGAATAAACTCTCTGCGCCATCTCTCGAGTATCAAAAACATCTTTTTAAAGACTGTAAAATAAATGCAGGAATTAGCTATCAGCGCCATCTCTATGCCGTATATCTAACATTAATGAAACATTTTCCAAAAGTATTCACGAGATGGCGCAGCATGTTCAATTTTTATTCCATTTCTATAGATTCGAAGTTATTGGTTCAGTATAAAAAAAAATCATAACCTTAATAGTGATTATAATTAAAATTAAAACTATAAAATTATAAAAGTTATAAATAAGATATAAATTAAAAATTAAATTTTATACAAATTTTATAATAAATATAAATAATAGAAATCTATATTTTTCAATCATCCATGTACAATTTAATACATTTTAAATGTAGAATATAGATAACTGTGAAACAATTGATTAATACAATAATTTTGAGTACAAAGCTTTTAACATTTTATGATTTTATTGCATTCTAAATAAAAGATATCTAAATAAATTTTTATTTAAAAAATTATTAATGCAATGAATATGCTTTATTTTTCTTATTCAGGTAAGTTAAATAATAAAATGAAATAATAAAAATTAAATGAATAATCATTTTCATTTTAATTTACAAGAAATTATTTTTATCATCTAAAAAAAATTATTTAACCATTTTTAAATGAAATTAAAAATCTGAAGGCATATTATTATATGTATATAAAAATTTATTTTAAAGTTTATTAAGTGATAATTTAGAATTTTATTTGAAAATAAGTATGAAAGTAAGTAAATCAAAGTATTAAATCTTTCCACAGTAATTAAATTTCATGAAATAAGCTTTAGAAATAATAAAACTAATATATACATATCTTATATTTATGTTTACGAATATTTTTTCATTTTTTGAATTATAGGTTAAATTTTTAAGATGTAATACTACTTGCAATTTATATTGACAAAATTTCACTTCGAAAATTGATGAAATAATATTTATTATTAAACGACTTTTTAAAAAAAAATTAATGATTTACATTCAAATATATATAAATCAACTAATATAAATCATCATCTAAAATCGGTAATAATTTGAGTTAATTTTCTTTTCGTGTTTTGTATTTTTTCTTTCTCACGTCTTTTTATTTTTTTTTCTCATCTTTTTATTTTTTTTTTTGAGCTCTTATTTTTTACAATCATTCGAAATAGTAGAATATTTTTTTGAATTAAATATTTTAATTTTATAATATATAATATAATAAATAAATAAATTTTATAATATAATAAATAAAATAAATGTATCTTTAATATAGATACTATCAATAGATTATATGATTTCAATTTTTAATTTTATTATTAAAATAATAATCTAAATGAAATTATTTTAAGATTTCATTATTGAAGTTAATAATGATGGATAATATGGAAAATTAACTTTCAATTTTTATTGTAAATGATGTAAATGATTTTTTTAAATTAATTTAACTTTTTTATTTTAAATTTTTTCGTCATATTTCAGTATTCTTTGATTTAGATTTTATATTGATTACTTCTCTTTTATATTATATTTAATTATATTATATTATATCTTTTATATTATATTTACTTTATTTTTATTTTAAATATTTACTCTTATGTTTAATCTCTAATAATTTTTATATAAAATTAATTATATTAATCTATTTTTATTATATTTTTAATTGGAATGACTTTATAGAATTCAATTGTTGTATAGAAATCTACAGTTAAATAATATATTCCATTTCAATTTTCGCGCGGCTAAAGACTAAAGAAACATCTTTCAACCAATCAGAAAGCTGCTAAGGCCCAGCGACAAGAAGAATTAATGCGCATCATAGTGCGCATCATAGTGCGCATGGTCATGGCGTCAGTCTACAGTTGAAAATCGTGAAGACAAGTTGTGTTTCGCCGGTAAAAGTGCGTAATTATATAAAATTTTCGTTAATAGAGTGTTATATTACAACTATTAAGCTTAATTATAAATTATTAAGCCTTGTTTAATCAATATGTGTGTGTTTAATCATTATTATATCAGAATTAAACGTGTTTGTGCAGATTATCGTTTATTGAAGCTTCGAAGGCGGGAATTCACTTTGAACGTGTAATAGCTTTTGCGTATATCACATTATATCACAATTATAGGTATATAATCCAACAATTTTCATACAAATATGGTAAGATTTTATTTATTTTAACAAAAAATAATTATTATATATCTTTTTTGATATTTTATTTGCGCAAAGATAGCCATTAATTAGATTATTATATTGGTATATAGGCATTTCACATATTTCTGTATAGTTTTCTAAATGTACGTCTATCCATACGACTCGAATGTTATTTGTTTTGATTTCGAAGCCTGGGAATATTTCTTATAATTCAGCCTTTCCAGGAAAAATTGAGTGTTTATGTTCGTATACGCTCGACACGTTTCAACCTGTCGAATTGTTGAGCATATCCCCTCTCCAATTTGTAATTCGATACGTCGAAATCAGTACGCGAGGCGTCATTTTGTTATCGAAACTCGTGACGACTAGACGCTTTGCTTCAGGTATGTGATTAATTTATTGCGTAATATTTTTCTAATAGTAATTTTTTACTGATATTACTATTTCATTAACGCGTTTGTTCGATTATTTATTAAAATATCTGTTTGAATGTTATAATTAATAATTATTTGAGAAATGATTTGTTCTTTTTCTTTTTGTTCGTTTATTTGATTATTAGAATTATTAACGTATTAAGAGCTTCTAAAAAAGAATTTGAGTTAGATTATCATTTCATTTTAATACATTAAGTTTATTTTTATACATTTTATATCTATATTTATATTAAAGATATAATTTTTTTTATAGATAAGCAGCTAATTGTTGAGATTACTTTTCGCGGGAAAAAGTTTTCAATATGGACGCCATGATTGACAGTTACGTTTTAGGAAAGGAAAGGTAAAGGT